AAAGTATTTTATAGTCATTATATCATCACCTCTTGTAGCTGGTAATCTGTCTTATTTGTCACTAATCCCTCTTTTTATGGTCGGTGACCGATCGTTAGTTATCATAGTGTATAAGTTCTTATATAGACATGACATTGTGGGTGAAGTAACTGAGGTTGGTAGTAAGGTGGAGAAATTCAAAGTTGGGGATAAAGTTGGTATGGGGTGCCTAGTTGAATCATGTCGATCTTGAGAAAATTGCAACAAAGATATCGAGAATTATTGTTCCAACCACGATGGAACACCAACGTACGGAGGCTACTGAGACATAATCGTTGTTCGTGTCCCAGAAAACATCCCCCTAGCTTCTGCAGCACCTCTGTTTTGTGCTGGAATTACAACTTACAGCCCGTTGAGGTACTTTGGACTAGATAAACCGGAACTTCACATCGATGTAGTAGGTCTTGGTGGACTTGGTCATGTTCGTGTTAACTTTGTCAATTCTTTAGGGCTAAACGTGACAGTAATTAGTGTTGTGACATGTTTGACATCACAAGTTCTGAAAATGTTGTAACCAAACAAATATTATAAAATTGCATGTTTGAACATTTCAGTTAAGGAATTAAACAATATAACCAATAGTACTATGAAAACACAACTCTCTTTACTAATACAAAGTAGAATAAAAACTATAATGTGATAAATTGGTCTACTATCAAAACTAGAATCTAAAACAAATTCTCTAATACTCTTAAAACTAAACGTCAATAATAAATTTCAATGGGATAATGTTTTCAACAAACCTGCTAACATGTCTTTCCGCAAAATGATAGGGGAACACCAGATAGGTTGAGCTGCTAATAAGACTTGATGTTGCAAAAATCATTTTCGAATCCTTTGTTCTCTTGTCAATGTTTTCTACTTCAAGAAAGGCAACTTTCTTCTTCACCAATTCCGGATTAGACTCAAATTTATTGAAAACCTTATTGACCTCGTCGTACACAAAATTACAGTTTTTAGGTTGGTTAGGTGGGTGCAGAATCAACTTTTCCCACAATACAGTTTGAATTTTGCTTATTTCACTCTTTTGTGGAAGTGAAAGAGTTCCAAACTTGTCATCAGTAAAGTTGAAATAGGTCATAGTACTTAGGTAATGATGAATCCAATAAAGTACCCCATTGAGGAAGGTACAAGTATAGTTGTAAAGTTTATAAGTGCTGTTTTCACAAATTCTTCTCCATGAGTTAGTTCCGAGGGTTAGAATCTTTATACATGGCCTTCTTTTCTTGTTGTAAATACAAAAAAATAATTTGTATTTTTCTGTGGCAGGATCATATCCCAGATACAAACGTGCAAAAGCACTTTTTCTATATCCCAGTGAGAATATTGGAAATGGAAAGGCTTTTATTTCCCCTGTTGTGATGTTATACAAGTAACCCTGACTTTCTTTATGATAATAGAGACAAATAAGACCATTGCAATAATTTGAGCAAATAGATATCTCCTTGTGATTGAAATAATTACGAGGACCCACGAGTTGTAAAGGGAATCGTTCATACTTACGATAGTGTTCAGGATTAGAAGGTGTTTTTATACGTACTTCAAATAAGAGACGGGGACGGGCTCTAGAACGAGCATTCGCAAAGTTGAGATCATGTTGTATCAAAATATTCCAAGCTTTAGAAACACAGATGAATCTAACGAGAGACTTAGCTGGTAGCAACGTTAATATCTCAAATACTATGTCATCATGTGCCATATGCATCTCCTCCGTAGTAATCCTTCGACATCGTTTTTGATTAGTTTGTGTATCTTGAAAGGGTGAGGGCTGCCGCTTTTTACCTTCCATGTTAATGTAGCTGCTATGGCTATGGAGAAGAGAAAACAAGAGGAGGCAAATATTAAATATATTAACCTAGCTAACAAATATGGCAAAATCATAAAACTTAGTTCTAAAGGGATTAAAAGAGGAATAGTGTGTTTTTATTTACATCAATTTATATTTTTCGAAAATTATTCCGTTAGTTATAAATGATTTTAATGTCGGTGCACCTTTATTTCCTCAATAATGTTTCTATATATTTTTTTATTATTATTTTTTTATTTTTTTTCTTTGTTATATCTTGGATATATGTAAATAATGATATATATATATATATATATATAGAATATTTTCATTCGTTAGCTAGGTTAATTTAATATTTTCCTCTTCTTTTTCTTTCTCTTTTCTTCTCCATAGCCATAGCTACGTTAACATGGAAGGTGAAAAGTGGCCGCAACGATGATGCCAGAGGAATGAGGAGGCACGTATGGATTTGTAGATGATATGGCAATTTAATATGGCTTCCAGCTAAGTGTCTCATGAGATTCAACTGTGTTTCTAAAGCTTGGAATAGCTTGATACGACATGATCTTAACTTTGTCAAGTTGTACAATGCTCGTTCTAGACACACCCGCCACCTCTTATTTGAAGTAGGTATAAAAAAACGGTCACCATATGGAAGGACTCTAACACATCTTGAACAATTCCCTTTACAACGATTAGTGGGTCCTTATAATTTTTTCATGAAATCGAGATTTTTATTCAATCAAATCATTGCAATGGCCTTGTTTGTCACTATAACCATAAAGATACTCAAAGTTATTTGTATAACATCACAACAGGGGAAATAAAAGCCTTGTCAATCTTGGTGGGATATAAACAAAAAGCGGATATTCCATATTGAAATTAAATTGGACAGGAAAACATAAATAAGTTGTATGTCTTGCCCCAATTTCTATACAACAAAAATTATGTATAGAAGTTGTATGTTTTAATCGAATTCTACACAATATAAAATATGTTTGGATCTAATTTGTATATATTTTGTAAGCATAAAGCTCTTGCTACTTTTTGCAAACTTAATTAGAATCTAGAAATATGTCCCATGTGGTCTAAAAAGCTAATTATTGACTTTTGAAAAATCAAATTTTTAGAGTGGTCTAGAAATTTATAGTACATCTTTTTAATTGTGTACACTCAATCATCCCTCGATGTAAAAGTTGATACTCATTCACCTAAATTAAAATGTAGCAATACTTTAATTTGACAAAAATCATAAGAAAAAATATGCACGTTAGAGAAATTGGGAAATCTATTCATTCTAACAATCACCGGCGACGATGAACACAGGTTCAATCCCTCTCTTATTGACTCAATTAAATCCGCTCTCGATCGCGTAACGGCAGAAGCAACGGGCAGCTCCGCTCTAATTACTACCGCTCAGGGTAAATTCTTCTCTAATGGCATTGATCTCACTTGGACATTGTCCGATCCATCGCACTATCCGTTGATAGACTCAAAGCTCAAATCGCTCATTTTTCACTTTTTCAACCTTCCAATGCCGACCATCGCGGCCGCCACCGGCCACGCTTCGGCAGCCGAATTCGTCCTCGCGATGAGCCATGATTACGTAGTAATGCGAAAGGATCGTGGATTTCTCTACATGAGTGAAATTGATATCGGACTAAAAATTCCGAATTGGTTTGTGACTTTGGTGAAGAACAAAGTGAAGTCGCCTGCAGCTTGGCGTGATGTGGTTATGAGAGGTGCTAAATTGACTGCTGACATGGCAATCGAGCAGGGTATTATCGACTCCGCGCACCACGGTGCAGCGGAGACGATGAAGGAGGCTATAAAGCTTGGGGAGGAGTTGATGGAGAGGAAATGGGATGGGAAAGTTTACGCTCACAACAGGAGGCTTGTGTTTTCTGATGTTTTGGTTGCGCTAACTAATGAAACGGTATCTAAATTGTAATTTGGGGACTTAATTTGGTACAAAAAAATAAATAAAATAGGAATAAGTTTGTGATACGTTCACTAAAAAGAATCTCTTTTATAGTCGATTAATCATTTATGAATTATGGGCAAATAAGAGAAAAAAAATTCATGCATAGTGAATTTACGATCCATTATCTTGATCCACTTGTTTATATATGTGTTCTCTCACCTACTTACATTCTATTTTTACATTATTTAAATTAAAAAACAAAAGATTTAAGTTGGAATATTTATCTTAAAAGACAATTTCGTCTTTAATTTGGATATGTTTGTGGGAACCTTGCCTAAAGTCAAAATACTTCGTCTTAATGGGAAGATTGCAGGTTTTGTTCCTGAGTATGAATTTATCAGGTTGCTTTTCTTTAACTCGCCATCACTTGTGACAATGAGCATCATGGAGCACCCACAACTCGAAGCAGAAAACGCATTGGATTTAGCTAGGAAACTACTCCAATTAACGCCACCATCAAGAGTGTGTAAGATTTCTCGAGGGATAGTAAAACACGAAGATCATAATGTTTGATTCAAAAAATTGGCACTATGAGAAAATTATATTTTTTGTTTCTAGCATGACTTGTTGCAATAACCCTTCTATTAGCTTAGCAATAGAATTGAGTACTTAACTATGTGCAGATCGATAAACATTTACCTGCATCAAGTATTTATATCGATCAAATTAATGTATACATCATACATTTATTTCAATTTATACAACTATTAATAACTAATCCACTACTTAGAGGAGAATCAGTCTTTGATACTTAGTCAACATTCAACCACCCTACTACACGAGGCTACTCTTTCATTAATTAGAGAAGTATCGGGTTCGAGCCTGGATATAGAAAAATCCTTGATTGGGAACGTTTTTCTTGAATGGAATTTTATGTGGCGTGAATCTAGAATAGTCAGGCTCGAATGGAGCCTTATGCTGTGCAAATCCAAAATAGTCAAGCTCTAATGCAGGTATGCGTCTATGCGTGCTTTTAACATTCTATATCTTAGTGCGAAAATGCCCCCTTAAGTGCTTTAGTGGGAATGCGGAGGATTGATTGTTTGGTAGCCGTAAAAGCTGTCCCGAGAACCTTTGCTTGTCAGGTGTAAACTCGAAAAAAAAAAAAACCTAGTCAACATTTAGGAAGCTGTCATTGGGGAAATTTGCATATAAAAAAGTATATACTAATTGGGCTAAATCATAGGAAAAATGTGCACGTTAGAGAAACAGGGGAATTTGTTCATTCTAACACTTATCGGCGACGATGAGCACAGGCTAAATCCCTCTCTTATTGACTCAATCAGAGCCGCTCTCGAACGGATAACGGCGGAAGCAACTGGTAGCTCTGTTTTAATCACTACCGGTCAAGGCAAATTCTTCTCTAATGGCTACGATCTCGATTTGGCCTCGTCCAATCCATCCAGCTTAAAGTTAATGGACTCCAAGCTCAAATCACTCATTTTTTACCTTTTCAACCTTCCGATGCCGACGATCGCAGTTGTCACCGGGCACGCTTCAGCTGCCGGATTCGTACTGGCGATGAGTCATGATTACGTCCTAATGCAAAAGGATCGTGGATTTCTCTACATGAGTGAAATTGACATCGGACTAAAAATTCTGAATTGGTTTGTGACTTTAGTGAAGAACAAAGTGAACTCGCCGGTAGCTTGGCGTGATGTGGTTATGAGAGGTACAAAATTGACTGCTGACATGGCAATCGAGCAGGGTATTGTCGACTCCGCGCACCACGGTGCAGCGGAGATGATGAAGGAGGCTATAAAGCTTGGGGAGGTGTTAATGGCGAGGAAATGGAATGGGAAAGTTTACGCACATAACAGGAGGCTTGTGTTTTCAGATGTTTTGGCTGCACTAAACAATGAAATTGTAGCTAGATTGTAAACAAGTAAGTTGGAATACATTAAAAATAAAAATCGGATCGATAGCTTTATTGTTGTCTTTGTTATTTTCATTGTGAATATTTCACTATTATATCTTGTCCTTTTGTTTTCTTTTTCTTTTGTGATAAAAGTATATTAAGAGTCGATTTGCATGAACATACAATAAATAGGTGTTGAATGGCTTGATCAAGTTCATCTAACACTCGAATGGTTTTTTGAGTTGTATCTATTTAGATTCGTTAAATCGATACATAACTCTCTTGATCAACACAAAGTTCATAGGCCCGATAAATTACATATTTATGGGTCAAATTTGACTGCCATGATTTTTCAACAACTGGTCGAAATTGCAATCAACAAATTAAACTTTTAGAACAAACAATATATTAAAAGAAATACTCCCTCTGTCCCAATTTATGTGAGAGGCATTTCGGATATCGAGATTCAAACATGTATATCTTTGACCGTAAATTTTTCCTAAATTTTTTAAATAGTTTGTATTATCAATTATTGAGACTCATAATACTTTTTGTGTAGTTTACAAATATATAAATTTCATTTTAAAAAATTTGAAAATTTCATGAGCAAATTCTCGGTCAAACTTAAACTGTTTGACTCTCGAAAAGCGAAATGTGTCACATAAATTGGGACAGAGGGAGTAGCATTTATTTATAAGAAAATAATGAGGCATACAATACAATTATATTGAAGTTGAAAAATACATATTAAGCGTTTATTTTAGGCCCAGCCAAATTCATCAAAACTTAGCCCAACATGAAGTTGTTTGGCCCATATTCATGAATTTTCAACTTTTTAGTTGGGCCAACTCTCTTACAATGAAATCTAAATCCCTTTTAGAGCTCCCTCCAATTTTAACAGCTTCATAAGCTTCATATCTCATTTTTTGGGCCCTCTCCTTGAGCAAATCATTATTCATTGCCTCATTAATTCTCCGACCTAACTCTATCGGGTCGGGCACTGAGTCTGCGCCTTCACAAACTCTGATCGACATCTTCATATTGTCCACCAACAACCACATGTTGGTGAACTGGTCGGTCTCCATGGGCCATCCCAAAATTACTACTCCCGCCACTATCGCTTCAAACACTGAATTCCATCCACAGTGACTCAAAAACCCACCAACAGCTCCATGGCCCAATATCTCCACTTGTGGGGCCCAACCTTTTATTACTAGGCCTCTCCCTGAAACTCTCTCCTCAAACCCTTGTGGCACTGATCCAAAACCTTGTTCATCTTGTTGGGCTGTCAGTTGTTTAACTACTAAAATGAACCTCACTCCACTTTTCTCAAGCCCAATAGTTAAGGCCTCCATTTGGGCCTTTGTTAGTAACTTTTGGCTTCCAAAAGCTACATAAAGAACAGACTCTTTAGGACACTCATCAAGCCAAGTGAAAACTTTCTCATTTGCCTCATAGGACTTCCCAATTCTACCCGGCCCACCAACTAAATTTATCGGCCCAATTGAATACACACGCTCATGGCCCAATTCCTTCTTCAAAAAGCCCAAATAATCACTCTCCAAAGCCTCAAAAGTATTGAAAATTGAACCAAAACTCCTTGTATTTGCAATAAACCCATTCCTAATAATCTCCCAAGTTGGATCATCCTCTTTAAACTTCAGACACACTGGAGGAAGATGTTCCCTCACAAATCTTGGACTTTTAGGAAGCCCATTAAGCTCAACAAGGTCCAAATCTTTATAAGCCTCAAAGTTCTTCCAAATATCAATAATAATAGAAATCAATAAAGCCCCAGAAGTGTAAAAAACAAACCCGGGTACACCAACTTCTTGGGCCAAATCTTGAGTCCAGCCCAAGATGAAATCATAAACAATCGCCACAGGAGGATTTGATTGGGCCTTAAACCATTCTACTATTGGGCCACGAAGCTTACTAAGCCCAACAACAATTGCTGGACCGCCGGCATTCCCCACATCCTTAATGTTTTCGGTGCCGGCGGGAAGAGATAGGTGACCCGGAAATGGAAAAACAAGAGTTTTAACAGATGGATGTGTGGAAATAAGAGGATCAAGAATCGGGACATTTTTAGGTGTCCCTAAAATAGTAATTTTAAAACCATGAAGAAGAAGTAGATGAGTAAAATCAAGAAGGGGAAGTATATGACCTTGTGCTGGTAATGGAAAAATTAAGATGTGTACACCATTTTGTGACATTGTGTATTTTCTCACAATAAGTAAGCAAAAGTTGAGTGAGTTTGAATGAACTAAAGAGATATATAAGTTTGATATCATAGTGATGTTTGTATGGTGGAGAATGGAGAACTATAATATTTACCATGTTATTTCATATATAGTTTGTCTCTTAGCCAAGTGGTCCCTTAAGTATGAGCAGACAAGAAATGTGTTGAGGCCCAACAAGTTGTTGATTATTGAAGATGTTAAAGTACTCACGAATATACAAGATATAAGGGAGTATATAACACTCAATGGCCAACGGTCTGCTGCTAATTTTAAGTCAAAGGAAAATGTTTGACGTTTTCTCTTTGATTTAAATCTCAACAACGGACGCTCTTGATCGAAAGTTCCATCAATTGAAATATTGGTTAGAACCTTCATTGCCCACTTGTGGATAGAAAACAAGGCTTAGTTCGAGGTGTAGATAAAATACCAAAAGAATAACTTATCTTTTGATTTTTTAAATTTGATAAATATTGTTGGACAATTAATTTTAATATAATGTATAAGTAAAAATAGACGAAGAGAGTATTAAAATAGTGTACTTACTTAACATAAATGTATAAACCCCCTGTTTCCCCTATAGAGGTTGTTGACATTGTTGCTGCATTAAAAAAGCAATAGTAAGTGTACATAGAAATTAAATAGCATCTGACTATTTCTGTCTAATTAAAAGATAATACATTCTACTATTCTACTATATTATAAAAGGGAGTTTAGACCCAATTATAATATATAATATTTAAGATTGGAACTTTTCCTAATCTTAAATATTATATATTATATTTGTGGGACTTTTAAAATTTCAACTATGCCCAAGTATAATATAATATATTCAAGATTGGGACTTTCTTGAATATTATATATTATATTTATTATATAGTAGAACTATATATATATATATATATATATAATTGGGCCTAAACTCCCTTTTATAATATAGTAGAAATATATATATATATATATATATATATGGAAAAGTCCCAATCAAGGAAGCAACATATATCATTTACAAATGACATAAAAAGCATTAAAAATTACAATAATTATCAATTTAAAATATTTAAAAGCTATATAATAAAATAGATTGACTTTCAGAATTGTATCAGGCTCACATATATTGGGACAAAAAAAATAACACATATCATTTTAAAATTACCAAAAAAGTATTATAAATAATAATAATCAACAACTTAAAATATAGATATTTTAAAAGGATTAATTTTATAATTTTATCCATATCACATAAATTAGGACAATGTGACCAGTAATGTACGTTATTTCAAAGTTACAAATATAGATATTTTAAAAGGATTAATTTTATAATTTTATCCATATCACATAAATTAGGACAATGTGACCAGTAATGTACGTTATTTCAAAGTTACATAAAAATATTATATATCACAATAATTAATAACTTAAACTTTTTAAAAAAACATATGAAAATTTGGATGACTCTCTAAATTTCATTTGTGTCACATAAATTGAGACAATAAAAATAACATATTTTGGGTCCATTTTAATTTATTTGTCTTATTTATTTTTTTTGTTTTTTTTTATATTTAAAAATTGCTTAAAAATACTATAAATCATGATAATTGACAACATAAAATATGTTTTGAAAAAAATACAAAAAATTCCACTGATTCTTGAAGTGAATCTATCGTAAAAATACTATAAATCATGGTAATTGACAACATAAAATATTTCAAAAATGTTGTATGTGAGTAGTCTTATTATGCCTTAAATAGCGTCAAAGAAAGTACAGGTTTGTGATAAAAAAAACTTATTCATTTATTCACGCAAACAATCGCTTCAAAAACTCGATTATTAGCCCCAAAACATACCATTTATATTATTGGGCCCGTGCATAGCACGGGCAACATTATCTAGTGGTCAAAATAAAAATAACTTAATCAATTACATCAATTTATTAAATTTATTAATCAAATCAATACAAAGTGGTTATTTCTGTTTTGGTTTTAATTGGTTTTTTTTATTTCTTGATTCTTCTTATAACTAGGGGTATACATGACCGGATTAGTTCGGGTTTTTCAAAAATCAAACCAAAGTATTTGTGCAAAAATTTTAAATTTATAAACCAAACCAAACTAATAAAATTTGGGTTTTTCAACCTCGGGTTGGTTTGGATTTTTCAAATACCAAACCAAACCATTGTGTCGAATTTTTAAATTTATAAATCAAACCAAAATAATAAACCTCGGATTTTTTTCAGATTTTTGGATTTTTTCGGTAAAGTTTGCATAAAAACATATAATTAACTTGTGCTCCAAAATATTTCTTTAGTCCAACCAAAATACAATTATCTAAGATGTTTCATCAAAAAATAACACAAAATATGAGAGAGTACTGATGACACAAAAATATTCAATAAAAAATAATAATGAAATCATCATATAAAATAAATATTGCAAAGTCATAATGAAAATGATCATAATTTAAAAGTACTAAATCATGCTACAATTATAAGTTTAATAAGTATTAGTTACGTTACTAAATATTTAAGAAAAATTAAAATTAGATTATGTATTTGAAATGTCTAAACCAATGTAAAACTAAAGAACAAATATTCAATATTATTGTCATTCTTAGTGTTGAATTGAATTACTTTTTGCATTAGTATTAATTTGATTTTGATTTAAGTTTTATTATAATTATCAACATCTATGAACTATAATCTTTATTGGACCATTCCGAATTCTAAATTTTAAACTTGAAATAATATATTAAAAGATAAAAACTATGAAATAGTATAAGAAATA